ACCACCAAAACATCAATAAATTATTCGCCATTACTTTAATTAAGGTAACAGGAACCAGTATCAGATTCTGTCATTTATAATGATATTCTGAAGTCGAGGAAAATTGATTCATGGGATTTTTTAAAAAGCTATCAAATTTGAGAAAAACCCAAATTCCTAAGGGAAAAATAGAGAAAAATTAATGCAACAGTTTACGTGAATATTCATTCAGCTTTTGTCAAAGACCTAACTTTATTAAACACCAAGAATGGCAGTTTATGGAGTCAGACCCATTAAAATATTTTTAGTGGAAAAAAATAATGCAGAACAAAAAAGCTGGCATTTCCACAATGTGGACTGTTCTCCTTTAAAAGTTCAGTGACATTGATCTACAGTTCTGTTTATAGCCACATTTCAATTGTCCGAGCAAATGCAAGTGAATGATAGAAAATCAAACATTACATAAGTCTGCCTGGCAATATGATACCTAGAAATTGCATGTAGATAAAATCAGCCCCCCCAAACAGTATTTCCCAATCAGCACACCCATCTCGAATTAGGCAGGTGAAATGCACTTGGACAAAAGGAAGAGGCTGAATGCAGGGTTTCACAGGCGTTGCATATAATCAGGATATGTCTCCTGGTGTTTGAAAGTTAATTCAAAAATATAAGAAATAAAAGGAAAATGGCTCTTTTCAAATTAACTAATATAGTGTGTAATTATGCTTTTGGAAAACATCTTACGGAATTAATAAAGCACTTGTGTAAGTAATCTTTAAATTCACTTTATCAAAACATATAATTATTTATTAAAATAACTGGATTTGAAACATCTTGAAACATCTTGAGAGTCTTGAAACATCTCATTCCTTACCTACAACGTGTCTCCCGATTGAAATTGGAAGGTTGATGTTCAGGTGACAGGGTCTGATAAGCCAGTAAATGGAAGTGTTTAATATACTGATAAATTTCAGTAGTGGCTTTTAAGAAGCCTCCTCCAAGGGCCTCCCAGGTATGGTGGACCCCCACGATCTCAAGCTCCAGCATCCAGGGTTATTCCGAGGGCCAACAGGATGCCTCCAGGTCCTAGCCTTAGCATCGTCACTACCTTCTCTTCTGA